GCCTTAGCCGGTTGAGCTATAGGTGCTGAGCCGGCATTACTTTTTAATGTGTGAGCTGGAAACTTTATGAAAAGGATTTAAGAGCTCTTTTAAGAATTCTTAAGAAAGCAAAGAGCAACATAATGTTAACTCATCTTCCTGTCTCAAGAGTCACCAAGGCACACCATTGCCTCTTTCTATCCAGGGGAGATCCACGGACATAAATGCCTTCCCAAACCTGCACCAGGTAATGTGGACAGGGGCAGTCCAGCCACTACCATCTGCTGTTACTTTATGGCTAGAGATAAAAGACCTCACAAGAGAATCACTGGAATTGGTTTTAAAACCTCTGCTTTTGGAATGTAAATGTTCAAACACTCTTATAATGACTAAATGGAAGGACCAAAAAGAAATTCAACAAGATAGAAATCAAGGCATCAAGGGATCAGAACAGGGTCCAATTCTTCATCTTCAGTTAAATTAATGACTCTTAACAAGGGTTGAAAAGTGTCACATCACGTCTTCTCTTGGATCTAGAGACAATTCTTATGAGAATTAACACATATTGTGCCAACATTTTCTACTTGGGTCCTATTGTTTCTCTTGGGCAAGTTCTCAAGAACCAAGATGAGGGCCTTGTAGTTTTTCAATGTCTGGTAAAATCAGACATTAAGACTTCACCAGACTTTATCATCATCCTAAAATACATGTGGCTGACAAAACCTTGTGCACAAGCTTATCTCATCAACAGTAAATTTCACAATTAGGCCTAAATCCACAGTTGTGTTCAGTGACACTGCACCTTCTGCTAAGTGGTGCCTTCTGTCTTCTTACCAAACAGGTATTACCCTGCCAGTGTAATCCCAGAGCCTTCAACTTAACAAATGCTTTGAAGAAAGAACAACTGAAACATTTAGTCATTACAAATAATGAAACAACCCACATGAAGACATTTAAATTCTCTTCACATTGGAAAGAAAAAGAAAGAACTCTGTCTCCATTCATGATAGTTAAGAAACATTTTTGCCCCCTAAATACCAATGCATGTGAATACAAGCATTTCAGGAAGACAGCCATACCCAGGAAGCACACTCAGGAAAGGAAGTAAATAAAATTCCTGTGCTGTCAATCTAACCAGGAATTCATTTTAGGTGCCAGGACTGAAGTTCAAACTGTCCAAAATGTCTGTTGCTTTTTCTAACCTGGAACAATAGGAAGATTTGGCAACCTGTCCTAAGGCTAAGCAATGCCACTGGGACTCCACATGCAGGCCACTGTCACCAATGTGCAGTCTGCTGCAAATGCAATTTGACATGACAGCAGCATCCACAGAAAACACTGTGCAGTTTGGCCACAAAACAAAAACAAAAAATTCCTAGGCTGGCAGCTTAATTTCTTTCTTTCTTTTCATCTAAATCCTTTATCTCAATCATGAATCAGCAATAACACCTGGGCACATGTAGCTCTTTCTTTCTTTGTTCTTTGAGGCAGAGTCTCACTTTGTCGCCCTTGGTAGAGTGCCATGGCAGCACAACTCACAGCAACTGCAAACTCTTGGGCTTAAGCAATTCTCTTGCCTCAGTCTCTCAAGTAGCTGGGAGTACAGGGGCCTGCCACAACACCTAGCTATTTCGTTGTTGTTGTTGTTGTCATTGTTGTTTAGCAGGCCTGGGCCAGGTTTGAACCCGCCAGCTCTGGTGTATGTGGCTGGTGCCCTAACCAGTGAGCTACAGGCACTGAGCCAGCTCTCTCTTTTGAATGGGGGGCAAACAGGCCCTTTATTGCCAATTCATTATGTGGTTTGAAATCATTACTGAAAGACAAGTTAGTTATTTCCACAGTTGCTAACAGGATTTCCCAGGATGTCACTACAATAAACATTTCTGGGACAATTAGGACAATTTAGTCCTTTAAAGTACGGACTACAGGGCAGCCCCTGTGGCTCAGTGAGTACAGTGCTGGCCCCATATACCGAAGGTGGTAGGTTTGAACCTGGCCCTGGCCAAACTGCAACAAAAAATAGCCGGGTATTGTTGCGGGTGCCTATAGTCCCAGCCACTTGAGAGGCTGAGGCAAGAGAATCACCTAAGCCTAAGAGTTGGAGGTTGCTGTGAGCTGAGATGCGACTGCACTGTACCAAGGGCAACAAAGTGAGACTCTGTCTCTAAAAAAACAAAAAATAGATAAATAAAATACGGACTACATGTTGTAGGACACCACTTTCTTAGGAGTGACACAGTATTGAGGCCATGGAGGAGAATGGCCTGATTCCAGGAGCCGCTACATGCAGATGCAGCATTAGAGAGGATGTCACACGGATGGAGCTCACAGCCAGGTGTAAGCATTCAGGGCAAGACTGCCAATAGTGAAGTGGGGTGAGGCACAATCAAGCGTTCACAGTATTATTCTTTTCTAAAGATCTGAAAATCTCCAAAATAAAATTTGAAATTTTCAAAATAGAGATCTGAAGCAAAAAGGATGGAACTCTGCTCAGAAAACAAAATCAAAACCCAACAGTAGCCCTATAAGTTTTTTCTAAACTTGGCTTCTGGAGAGTGAGAGGGGATAGGTAGATTATCTCTGCAAGAAAGAATGAAACTTAACGGCCTTCAAATTCTCATTTTTGACATAAATTTTGTGCCTGATTTCTGAAGGCCTGGAGAAGCCAAGGAGGAGTGAAGCTAGACATCTGCCCTCTGTGTTTACTTTCTACCTGACTCACAGGTTGTGAGAGCTAAGAAAACAACCCTAACAAAGGCTCCTCCTATGTCTGTCTTTAACAAAGAGAGGGTCACCAATGCCCTTTTAGGGATTGTGCCACAGAAGTAGGGAGCTGAACTCAGAAGAGCTGGAGAGTAGTTATTTTTAGAAGCCCATTAGAATTGGCTCTGAGTCAACATTTTGACAGGGACTATACCAGGGCATTTTTAAAATGATGCAGAAGCCTTCCTTGTTAGCCTGCTGGTTCAGGTTCAACTCTAACACAGATTCTCTCGAAGGCTGTACATGTAAATCAGCCTTCAAATCACAAAGCAACAGAACCACCTTTTCTTTGAGAGTAGTACTGAAATAAGAGATAGAGATTTTTAAAAGTATTTAAAATTCATCTGAGCACATATTATATTTTAGTGTTTCATCATGCAAGTTGTCCATAAGGTGTACAAGCTTAAAGAATTCCTATTATAATTTTAAATCAAGGGTTGCAAACATTTTTTCTGCAAAGGGTTAATACTAAGTAGCTTAAACTCTGTACGCCATATGGTTGCTGTCCAAACTGGTGTTGTAGCAGCCACAGAGTACTGTACTGGGGCCCGTTGTGGCTATGTTCCAACAAAAATTTGTTTATGAAACAGGCCTGTAGTCCCAACTACCAGGGAGGCTGAAATGGGAGGATCACTTAAGCCTAGGAGTTCTGAAGTAAGCCTGGACAAGGGACCTAAAAATAAACAAACAGGCAGCAGTGGACCCCTGCTTTAAAATGAAAGTGGTTCAAAAGATGACCATAATACATTCCAAAATTCTATAAAAGCCTGATTTTACTGAATAGCATCTCAAACACAGCTCTAATGCATCCAACTCCTAAGACTTTAATATTATGTTCCTAAAAACTACAGGAAAGGCCATTGTTAGCCCCTTCATACAGACTGAACCTCCAAAGGTTAGATAAGAAAAACACATGTAATTAAGCTGTACTGGTCAGGGCCCAAGTCAGGGGAGAGAAGAGAGTTAGATGTACCTTGAAAATATCACCTGAAAAAAGGTTTTCACAGGTTTCCTAATTCTTCCTTAAGCAAAAGAATTAACAATGGGAAAGTTAAAGGTGAGAATGAGACAATAGTTAAACTGACAAGCCTAGGTAGATAACAAGCCCAGAAGTACCTTGTGTGGGGTTGAGGTGGGGGCTGCTGGCAGCCTCCTCCCCACCCCCCCAGTCTCCTCCATTCTCTGCTAGGCACTTGAACATTGCTTAGGAAAACTGGGCCATACAAAGAGAAATTCTGGCTTCTTCTCAGACCAAGGGACAGGATTTAAGATGAGCAACCATGAGTCCCAAATCACTAGACAGGATTTAAGACGAGCAGTCATGAGTCCCAAATCACTAGAACAGTAGCTCCCAACCTGGGAGCCAGTAGCCTGCAACAGACAGAATCCTCAGGAGTACCAAGTTGATAAGATTCTCAAATGCTGTTAATTGTCAACCAGATACAAAAATACTTCTAAATTCAGCGCTTTGTAACCATAAAGGTTGCAGCAAGTATTACAATAAATTACTACTTCCAGCATGGGGCCTCAGTGGGAAGTGACCACACAATTTTTAGACAAATAGAAGGAATCCTCATATAAGCTGCAAAACACTGCTACAGGCACCAACTAACTTCTGACACAACTCTGATCTTCCACACTTATCTGTCACGGAGGGATATAAACCTATGGCTCAAGGTAAGCAACATCTATGGCTGTTTTATCACAGATCCTACTCCACACCTGTTAGACCTTTGACAGGCAGGGTATTTCTAACAATGGTGCCCCTAAATGACCCAAACTTAAGGAGGAAAGCAACCTCATGATGATGGATAATAAGTATGTAATGCAAGCAAACTAATAATTCTAAATACCTTTATGCCAAGTTAGTTAGAGCCAAAAGAATACCCCTAAAATCTTTAAAGGTCCTATTTTGCCCCTTAACCACTTTTGCTATCTATCTTCTCTTCAACCCCTTTCCTTCTACCTTTTCCCCTACTCTGCTCCTCTGCTACTGCTACTCCTTCTAGTATACAGAGGCATTTCTAAAACAAATCATTAGGAATTTAGAAGAAGGTTGCTAACAGTGTTTGAACAAACCACACTCTGTGAGCCCATCCCACACCAGGCCTGCCTTAACCTCTCTGCACCGCAATCTAAGGCCAAGCTTTCCTTCTCCAAGCCAAATGTGTGGAGTTTTTTTTTTTTTTTTTTTTGAGACAATCTCACTTTGTAGCCCTTGGTAGAATGCCATGGCGTCACAACTCATAACGACCTCAAACTCCTGGGCTCAAGCGATTCTCTTGCCTTAGCCTCCCTACTACAATGCTTGGCTATTTTTAGAGACGAGGTCTCATTCTGACTCAGGCTGGTCTCAAACCTGTGAGTCCAGGCAATCCACTGGCCTCAGCCTCCCAGAGTGCTGGGATTACAGGCGCAAGACACCACACCCAGCCCAGTGTAAAGTCTTAAAGGCCCCTACCTAGGTCACCCCGCCTATGGGCAGAAGCAGCTATGGTAACGTAACCTGAAGGAAAAACTCCCTGGGAAAGAAGAAATCAGAGTAATGATGCAAAGAGAGAACATACCGGCCCCTTACCTTTTGTCCTTTATCCTTCTGAAACACAAAGACAGGAGGAGCAATGGCAGGCTTTTCTGCAAAAAGAAAAATTGGTTTTTCTCCCCCCAACACTATATTCACACAGTAAACAAACCTACATTGGTTTATAAGTGTATATGTGTATGTATGTGTGCGTGTGTACATATATATGTGTGTACAACGTGTGTGTGTGTGTATATATATGTATGTATATAAAGCTACTAACTCCAAAGAGCATCAAATCACTTCAGGGAGCTTCTTGTCATGAACACTAGGATGCATGGGTGTGTTCAGTATGAAATTCAATACTTACTGGTATGACACAGGCCTGTTTCTCTATGTACATTGTTTAATTAATAAGGAGCTTTCAAGACTTGCTTGGAGCAGACATGCACATGAGAGCAGAAATGCACAAAGAGTGCTAGCCACTGTGTAGTCCTGCGGGAATGTGGCATAGAGACTCCAGATTTTTATGTGAAACCTCCTGAATTTCCAATGGTGGAGATAAATTTGTTTTGTTTGTTTGTTTTGTTTTAATTTGCAGGCCAGAAAGCAACTGATCAGTATCTGCTAGAGAGGTTGCTCATGCTCTTTGGAGACCTGGCCCAGCAGGCCCAGGATGCAAACTTCCCTCTACATTAGGGAGTGAGAACACAGAGCCGCTGAGGGTCTGAGAGCCCACCTAGGACAGCTGCTGTTGAAAGAAGAAACACCATGGGATGCTCCACCACTGTAGTTTCCACAAAACACCATTTGTCTCCTACCCAGGGGCAGCAACATCCATAGCCCTCTGCACTCACCCTAGTGTGAGTGGCAGCTCAGGAAGTCCCCGTGGGACACACTGACAAGGACTGCCATGACTCCACTGGGGAGGCCCAGGCCACATCTGCCTCATGGCCTCAAGGCCTGGTGCCCTAAAGGCCTCCTTCACTTTTCAAGGCACATAGAGCTTGGCAAAGCAGGAGCTCTGAGCCTAGGAAAAGCCTACTGCAGGTGCACTGGGCCCCTGCAGCAAGTAGAATTCAGGCACCTGCTCTCACAGGCCCCTAGTAATGCCTGGGCACAGCCCAAGAAGAGGGGGCTGTGCTGGAGTCTCAAGAAGAAGAGATGGAGGGATCCGAACAGCAGTTCAAAGGCACAGCTCTTAAGAGTGCTAGGGTGGGGGTGAGGGCTGCCATACTGAGGATCTGGAGAAATGCTGGAGAAGGCACTGGGAAGCGGGAGGTCTGTTCAGGCTGAAAGAGAAGAGTTTGGGGAAAGGGCAGAGAGAATAGATTTGGGGAGATCAGGTGCATGACAAATGAAAAGTGATGGGTCAGCACCAGGATGACCAAACCAACACTATCCCACTCCTGCAGAAGTCTTGACTTTGGGGCAACAGTCCACAGACAGACAGCCCACTCACTGTGATGTTCCCTCCACCATGCTCCCCAAAGCCTTGCTACATCTGGATCCAACTGCACACACAGTGACAGCAAATATTGGGATGAATGACACTGACACATCTCCAATGTAGCTTCTAGGCCTCCCTTAGGTAGCCACCTCCTTGACACACCACACAGCTGTTGCTTAATAAACTCAAATGAATGTGCCTCTGTTGGACAAGAAATAACGTCAAAGGAATGCTACAGGGACCCCAAGGCAAAGCCACAGCCCTATCTGCCACTGAGGAACCTAGAGACCTTGCAGCACTGCCCTACAGATCAGGCCCCAGCAAAGTATTCAGAGGTACAGGAAGCAGCTAGGGTTTGGGCCATCTCCACACTCCCCAGCCCCATCTGCTTTGGTGAACCACCCCTCCCCAACACCCCCCATGTTTCAGAGGAAGCCAACCTCAGCCCTGGCTCTGGCCTGACAAGGACAGTACTGCAAGCCTCAGCTTTAGGGAACACAGCAGCCCATGAAGGAGGCCAGGCCTTTTGTTAGAGACACTGGGGAAGGGTGTTTTCTTCCTGCTGGAGCTGCTCAGCTGGTGGGAGATGACCCTGGGGCCACCAGCCGTCAAGTGTCACCATAAGGGGCCTGGAACTGAAGCAAACACAGGGGGAGACAGAACTGGAGATGGATGACTAAATCCTGGTCACACTGGTGGAGGCCCTGAGTTGAGCTCGGCCTAAAGCTAGGCCAAGCAATGCTGAATTTTGCTGAATTCAGGGAGAGCCTGCTGCACGTGCACTGGGCCCCGGCAGCAAGAGGAATTCAGGTACCTGCTGTAATAGGCTCCAGCAACGCCTGGGCTTTCCCAGTCTGAGCTACATTTCTGCTCTGTGTCACTCCAGCCTGAGAGAATCATGGTCTAGCCACTGTGGGGTTAATTAGACATATGCTATACTTGGGCACTGTAGAGAATAAACCTTGGAGTAGCCTCAAAGTGAAGCTAACATACTTTCTTTTTCTTCACCTGCCCCATATTTATGGTTTGCAGTCTGTCTTCCTAGGAAGGTACAAACTCCAGGAGGGTACAGACGCTATTTTGCTCCCCTTGGCATCCTTTGGCTCAAGAACAGTACTTGGCCTGTCGTGGCAATCCAATAAATATCTGATGAAGGTGTGGTGCCAGGCTAGTGAGGAAGGGCAGAATGAAGAGAGGATCCTTTGGAGGGAAGTGGAAGAGCTTTGTAGTGATGAGAACTGTGTTGGTTGATCTGCACATCCTTAGAGGTGACCTCAGCTATTGGGACAACTTCTGGAGGCCTGGGCTGCCTATGACTTGAAGCCTTTCTAGACTACATAGCAGGCTTGGGCCAAGAGAGGACCTCTCTGATGAAGGAACAATTCTGTCATAGACCTGGGCTAGCTGCCCAGCTGGAAGTAGAGGGAGGCTGTGGAAGGGGACATGTGGGTTGAGCTCTGAAAGCAGAGATTCAGAGAACAGGAAAGCCAGGGTGATGCCCAATCAGATCCTCCCTAATTACCTCCTATTTCCTGTTCCCCAACCCTGCCACCACTCAGACCCTCTTTCTTTCTCTGCCTCTACTTTCAGACCCTTAAATCAGAGCAGGCAGAACCACTGGTATAAAACGTGCACTTAAAACTGCCAACTTCCTTCTATGGACATTTTGAGTTCCTTTGGACAGGCCACACCCTCCCACCTTACTACCGTGGTAAAGAGCCTGCTGTCCCCTGCATGCCCCATGTTCATGACACACTCCTGGACTTCTGCCTGGTTCCGTCCTTCTACCTAGAACATGTGTTTACCTTCTGTGTGGCTGGCACCCGCTCCCTCAGGAAGCTCCCAGTCTGGACTGCACACATGCCCTGCTCTGCTCCCTCCTGACCACAACTCTGGATTCTACCTTGCCACAGGGCACTCAGAGGCTGCCTGTGATGGAGGCTGAGTGACTAGAGCCACAGCATCTGAAACAGCTCTGTCCCCATCACATGCTGTGTAGACATCATCCAGTTAAGTATCTGAACTAAACCCATCTCTATTTGTTCACACATAGAACACCAGCTGCTATATACTCTCATAAACATTTCCTAAGTTACCCTTATTCTGTGCATGGCACCACAGAAAAGGTAGAGAACAGGAGGCTAAGAGCAGAAGACTTAACAGGAAAACATGTGATAGGGGCAGCAGTGCACATGGTGGCCTGGCACTAGGGAGCCCAGGCACTCCTAGAGGCATTCCTACCTCTAGGAACTGAGCTAGAGGATTGAGGCCTCATCTGTTCTGTTCACCTCTGTATTCCCTATGGCAAACACAGAACTTCACACACAGCAGGTGCTTAACCAGCAATTACGGTGTGAATGTAATGCTACATACCACACACAAAGAATAGGACTGAGAACCAGGCACAGTCAGGGTTCTCCAGAGGAACAGCACAGGATGCAGCCAGTAGGTGAGGACTGCAGCAGAGCTCCCTGCTGACGGGGCAGACAGCCTTCATTCTTTAATTCACTGCACTAACTAAAGCATATAAATGAACTATCACCTCTCCATCCTGAACACAAAGCCATCAGTTACACACACTGCACTTCCACTCAGCAGTAAGAGGCTCCAAACTGCAAACTGGTTCTCGTGCCTCATTCCACACAGGACCGCCCTACACTGATCACAATGGGGACAGACTGTTTTCTGCGGTCATCCTTCATCACCAAGCAGCTTCTGTTATGTCACCAAGTAACATGCATGCCACTACCTGAAACCCAAGTTTAGGGAATGCACAGGAGACCAGAAGCAGGGAGGCTACTATGACCTGCTTTAATGTCTAGCCCAGCTTTGCTTTCACAGGTCAGGGGAAAACTACCACCAGAGATTTTTGGAGACCCAGATCACCATGAAAACCTAAAATATTTAAATATCAACAAATGCAAACTATTCATCCCAGATTCTGTCAAACAAATGTTTTTTTTGTAAAATAGTCCAGTAAAACATTTCCTAATCAAATTAGTATGTAAAAAGCAGTCTGCCTGGTGACCAACTGTGGTGGGAGGGTGTGGCCTGTCCAAAGGAACTACACATAGCAGCACAGTAGAGTTCAGGAAACCAACAGAAAGACCCCCCTTTGACCAAATGCTTCCCAAAGTGCTCTAATCAGGGAAGTCACCTTTCCAGGAACCCCATGCCAGGGCCCTGTTTCATGGATTGATTGGTGTGTGATATGGAGGTCTACGCCTGCTTGAACCTCCCAGGTCACTGCAAACAAGACCTTGCCTGTAGTTGGTGTAGTGCTTCTCCCTGGCCTCAGCATGCTTTTCAGGGTACTACAAACCAAGTCCCAGGTGGCTACTGCCCATTCAACCCCCTCCTCCCTCCAATCCAGCAGCCTCCTCCTGGGCCTTTCCCAGCTCCTGTGCCCAGATAACACTCAGCCTGAACCTAATGGTGATTCACGGGACAACCACAGACCTGAGCCAGGGAAAGTCCCCTGCCTGCCCCAATCTCCAATGACAACAGCAAGGGGAGAGGGACAACAGAAGCTAAGAGGAGTGAGCCCCTGCTGGCATCCTGGCTCACAATGCAGCTCCCCCTCTTGTCCCCTGCTATCTTCCTCCCAACTATGAGGCTCAGATGCAAAGTGGGACAGACCAGCTAGGATACCCAGGAAAGGCC